GTACGTAATCAACAATAGGTGAGTGAAGGTGGGGGAGGGGTGTTGGGGGGTGACAACAACAAAAACAACGTCTGACTGGCTGGCGACAGTCTTTCATTTCGATTCGTTTCGTTTCATTTCATTTCGCTTCGTACTTCGCGTCACCTGTTGTTGCTTTATTTTTATTTTAATTTTTTTTCTTAATTTTTGCTTGATTTGATCATTTCTCAGTGGCTGCCGCAAAATCAAAAGCTGTTTAAGAAGCAGCGACCCTGTGCTTACTTTTGATTGACAATTGCAACTGTGTGTGCGGAGATTGAGAGCCCATGTGTGCGAGTGTGTGTGTGTGTGTTGTGCGGGGGGCGACGACGAAGCTGCCGCAATTATTTGATTATTGTACTTTTTTCTGCTGGCTGCGCTGACGTCGCGCCTTTTAAACACCCAGTAACCCAATAATATCATGGGTATATAATACTCCCTGAAAGAAAGGGTCTTTCAAAAATAAAAGGAATAATGATTTAGAAAAAGATGACAACTGTTGCATACAACAGACAGAACAACCATGGTTATAACAGTATCTTGTTGTACGATCTCGTAGTATTGAAGTTTGGGACATAACCTTAAAACCATTCTTGAAAAATTCGCTTAGTTTGTCGCACAGATTTTTAGAAGTCTTTTTATTTGTATCTCCTTGATATAACTACTGTACCAACATAAAGGTTGTAAAACGGATTTGAAAAATATGATGGATCTTAGGATCTCTTGGGGATACTTTAAAACATTTTGGTTTACGGGCTTCTAAATGTCTTACAAAATAAATAGAAATATTGTAGAAATCGAATTCAAAAATAAAAGTATAATTTTATCTCACAGATTTTTAGAAGTCTTGTTATTTTTACCTCTTTGAATTTACCAACAAAAATAAAGGTTGTAAAACGGATTTCAGAAATATGACGGATCTCAGGATCTTTTAGGAATACTTCAAAACATTTTGGTATACGGGCTTCTAAATGTGTTACAAAGTAATTAAAACTAATGTAGAAACCTAGTTGAAAAAAAAAAAGCATAAAACTTTATTGTTTTGACAGTATCTTCAAGCTGTTGATAAAGTTAATCTTATTTTTCATCTTTCTTATTTCTAAGGTTTTATACCTATGTACCTTTATCCCCCTACCCTCTATTTAGGGTACTATGGTATTCGAATAAATCGACTTTAGACTTCTTACTTGTTGTTTTTGCCCCGTTCGGTCGCTTCTTCGTTTTCTTTTCGCACACACAACACACAAACACACACGCTGAGCACACTCTGAATGAATTTCGCTGGTCGCCTCGTCTAGTTGCCTTAAATGTTTCAGGCGCGTCGGTTGTCGTCGATTGTCGATTGTCGCCTTTTCGATTTCTTGCTTTTCGCGCCGCCAGATTTTTTCTCGCCGTGCATTTTCAATTGTTGCGTTTCGCCAATTAGCAACAACAATAACTATGCAAATAAGCGGGGCAGATCGAAAAACGCGTGTGGTCACAATTAAACTTGGGTATGTTTCTCTTTACCGTTTGTCTGTTTTTGTCGCTTTTATCGGGCGTTTCGTAGCTCACTGGAATTTCGGAATCTTTTCCGCGAATTTGACGTATTATACTTTACTTTACGTTTTTTTTTTTTTGCCACCGCTGTAAATCGCTGCTCGCTAATAAATTATAAACAATTGCCAAGTGGGCGAGTGCTTAGTGCTTTTTGCACTGCGATGACGTCGTCGTCACGGGGGAATGAGTGAATGGATGACTGAGGGAATGACCGAATGACGGAGTGACAGACTGACCGTCAGACAGATGTGTGGACTTTGTGGCGCCGTTGCCGCACCTCGTCGTATTCTTGTTTTTATTTTTCATTATTTCTCTGTGTAGGTGCTTTAACAATATTTTTTTTTTGTTTTATTATATTTTCGAATTCAGTCACTCCGTCAATCGCGAAATGCACTTGTGACGTAGGCGATAGCGTGCGCTCAATTTTTGCAACAAATTATGAACCGACAATCGGGCTTTTCTACACGAAGACAATAAATGTCAAAAATAAATTAGAGAATTTGTGCACAATATCAAAGTGTATATTCTTATTAATTTAAAATAAATGTAGTAAAATTATATTGTGCCTTTAGATTTAAAAAAATTTTTTTTTTAATTTATTTATGTATATATAATATATGCATTTTGTTTTAGTGTACCCAGCCCTGTTTGATTATTTGCCATAGCGCTTTATTTATTGCACTTTGCACAGGGGCAATTGTTTTTCGCCTGGCTCAATAAAAATGTGCATGCAAATGAAAATGCCAATGCAAATGCAGTTCCAGTTTCTATATGAAAATACGTTCCCATGTGTTTCACGTTTACTTGGCGTTTTCACGCCTCAAAATGTTGGCAAACAGGCGTAATTAGAACCCCCAAATCGTTAAACAAAAAATTCGTGATAACGAAAATGTCATATTAATATTTACTTGACGGCTGTGGCAAATGGATTTACGTGGCCAAAAACAATAATAACGGTGTAAAGTAAAGTGAAAGATCTTTAAACGTCACAGTGCACTTTGCGCTTTGTGTACTTTGGGTATCTTTGGAATATGAGTGTTCTTGCTTTAATTGCTGGGGTTTTATTAAGCGCCTCTTTCTGATTAGCTTATCTTCCGTATTCCCGCTTGACTTTATTATATTGTTGTGACTGTGGATGGCTTTAGTTTCGCCAGTCTTGCTGTATAATTTAGTTTAGTTCGTGATTGTGTACAGTTGAACTTCAGTAGTTTTGAACTTAAAAACAAAATGTTTTTAAAAACTTTTACTTTTATGAATTCTGTGGATCTTTTAAGTATGTATTTATAAGAAAGGTGCTTAAAGTTTTATCTTATTTCTGGTAAATTTTTGGTGAAAAAATATTTAAAAAATATATAAAGAACCCATTTAGATAAATGTTAAAAACAAACTTTGAAACACAAAACAATGAGTGTATAAAAATTCTTAAAATCTTAACCTTTTTATGGGGAAAGATTTTAGATATTGGACTTTGTGCGGACTATTTAGTCAAAATAGTTTTTCTTGTTGTGCTGCTGGGTTTTGTTTTTCTTAGTAACAAACAACGCATGCCTTATAATCGCTACACATACATATTTCAGTAGTGGCGCAGTTGGCGCCTTGTAATTGACCTACTCACTCGTTTTATTAATAAGTTGAGTACATACACATATTTACTACATGTGATTATGTAATTGGGGTTTGGATCCCCAAGCAGCTAATCACTAGCGAATGTCACTTAATTGCCCAACAAGTTGACAATCTGATAGCCATATACGAATACATATTGGATAACTGACGTCAACGCGTCTGCAGTTCAGCGAATTGGCGATCACTTGGGTTACAATGGGGAACGCTTATCGGGGGCTTTGTTTCTGACTCAGGCGCACGATAGTCCCCACTGATAACCGATAATGAATCTGGCAAACACACTTACCGAATATATATACCGTGTATATATATAGAGCTTTGCATTATCAATGGAACTTTTGGGCAATTCTTTTTATTTTCTTTTTTTTTTTGCGGTCGCACGGCTTGAAAGCCTTATAGCCGAGGTACTGATAACAAATTGAGTAAACATTGGGACGCGACGCGAGAGTCGCTGCGATCGTATAATGCCGTATAATGTGTATAATAATCACGCTGAATGCTAAACAGTCGCAGTCGAGTCAATTAACGCGACCCAACTCGGTTGCCAGTGAGTATTTTTTCTGAGTCTCTCGGTTGGTCTGTGCGCGATTGTGATTTGAGAACTGCCCCGGCTTACTAATCGCCCGACGACCGAGTCATATAATATATGCAGACAGTGGGGCCCATAAAAATAGCAGCAGTTGACGGTGTTCAAATACTCTTATCAAAAAATACAGGGGTCTGGTTATCACACAGCTGAGCATATTTAAAGTTATCGTTAGTTATTATAATCTAATTTCTGAAAGTGATGTGTTATATTTCCCCTATCCCAATCTAATAGAATTTCCTATATATAAATACAAAATTAATTCGAAATAGAATTTATAAAACCTACTTTATAAACGTTATCTTTTCAAGTTTTCTCTCTTAATATTTGGCAACTCTGTATAAGCTCATTTATAATCTCCTGCCATCAGCTTTATAATACTGATACGCACTGTTGTCACACATGTGTGCACGAGCTGTGTGATAAGGAAGCCCCCAACAACAAACGAATCGCCAGTGACACCAGTCATTACACTTCAGTTGTCACTTTTCTTGGATTATTTTTTTGAATCTTATTTTTTTTTTGGTCGCCTGTCTGCCTTTTTTACCTGCAGCATGTGGGGCCTGAACCCTAGCTAAGTTGGGAATTCAAAATAGAAAGTTGATAAAAAAGAAACAAGGCAAAAATACATACATATTTGGGCTTAAACGTACAAATATATTTTTGCCACTGTGTGCTTTATCGATGTTGACACGTTCACAGAGTGGGAAAATGATTTTCAATAGTGCACAGGAATTCGCCAATTTGTGATTCACCTGGTGGATGGATCGCCGCTGGCGGAATTAACGTGCTCAGTATCTGGCATTCTCGGTTACGCGTTGATAAGATTGAGCTCCAATTAGAGCTGATAATGTGTGGCTGAAAATAAAACTATACATTGGGCAGGAAACACGTCTTGGGAAACCCAAGCGAAAAACGCAAGTGCACTTGAATTATTCAAAGTTGGTTCGAAGCGAAAGGGGTCTATTAGCTGCAAGTTGACACAAAGCGTGTATTAACTGAAATTAATAATTAATTGCACTGCAACTTGGCCAAGTTCTTGGTCAGCAGCAAAACAGTTGACTTGTTTTGGTCATTCGTATTGTAAGCTAGATTTTTATCGGGCATGGAGCAGGGAAACCAATGTATAAATGGGCTTATCATGGATGTATCAATTAGCATTGACATTAAAATTAAATTATGCGAAGTACATTGAATTAACTTGGGATTTCTTTTTCTCTTTTCGCTATAGATGAGCCCGCTGCAAATACGTCACAGGGTAATAAATTCGATAATAATATGGAAAATGCAACAACCACAACGGCCAAGCATTACAAAACCGCAGGCAAACAGTACAAGACCAATAAAGTGAACAATACGCGACGTGCCACAGCAGCAGCAGCAGCGGCAGCAGCAGCAGCAACAGCAACCACAGCAGCAACAACAGCAGTAACACCAGCAGCAACATCAACCAAGAAGCAAACATATCGGGAAACTGCAACGGCAACAACAGTCACCAAGAGAACAACCAGCAAAGCCAACATAGCAGCAGCAACAGAAGCAACATCAGCCCCATTAAACGCCTCCAAAGCAGCAGCAGCAGCAGCAGCAACAGATGTTGCTAGTAGCAATAGCAACAGCAACAGCAATAGCAATAGCAAACCCAGTACAAGCACACGAGATAAACTAAGCGAGTTGCCGCTGCCGACTGTTGACAACAGCAACCACATCATCAGCAACAACAACAACAATAATACAAATAATAATAACAACAACAACAACCACCACAGTGATAATAGTATTAGTGAGAATAATTATGAATTTAAGTGTAGAGATAAAGCAAATCTAAGTGATAGCAAAATGACGCTACAACAGATGGCAGCAGTCAGCAGCAATCAGGAGCCAGTGGCTCCGAATGTGGCCAACACGAGCATCATTGGCAGCCAGCAGACCACCGTAAATGCCACACCCGCCACCGATGAGGCTCCGTTGGGGGATTGGTCAAATATTTCACGCTATTTGCACAAAAAGTTCAAACGCTTGGCCAGCACCACCGAGGTGGAGAGCGGGAATGCAACGAATGGCGGCGGTGGTGCCCACCATCATCCAAGTAGCGATGCCATTCGCACCACATCGCTCTCCTCAAACAGTTCGCTATCGCCACCACCAGCGCCGCTGTCCAATGGTCACCACCATCATCTGATGACCCAACAGCAAAACCACCAGCAAGTGCAGCAGCAGCAACATCAACATCAGCCGCCGCCGCCGCCGCCAGCAGCCACACATGAATTCAGTGCCAATTTTGTAAATAGCAATCATGTCAATGCCATTGTTCAAGAGGAGAGTCTCATCATCAGCAGTAGCAGCAGCAGCAATAGTGGCTACAAAGCGGCGGCAAGAACGCGAACGCCACTCAGTAACAGCAATACGAACAGCAACAGCAACTATGCGGCAAATGCAACACTGTCACCGGCAACATTTGCCCAGCATCAGCAAGTGACGCAGCCAACAACGGCGAGTCCAGGAGTAGCTGTGGCCAATCCAGTGGGAGAGAAGTCCGGACGCTACGTTTGCACCTATTGCAATCTGATTTGTGCCAAGCCATCGGTGCTGGAGAAGCACATACGGGCCCATACCAACGAGCGACCCTATCCGTGCGACACCTGCGGCATTGCGTTCAAGACGAAGAGCAATTTGTACAAGCATTGCCGCTCGAGATCGCATGCGGCCAGAGCTCGGGGCTTGGAGGTACCAGCCGATGCGGATGATGGTCTGTCCGATCAGGATGCCGAGCTGAGCAACAGTAGTTCGGAGCTGGTAAGTCCATCAAATAAGATTTCCATCAAAACCCTACCTAATTTCTTGATTTATTGCAGCCAAGTCGCGCTGGATCGCCCTACGACGAGCCCATGAATTCGCCCACACCCTCGCCTTCCACTCTGTCTGCGGCCAAGAGTGCCTACATTCAGCAGCCACCGCTACCGCAGCATTTGCAACAATTGCCGCTGGGCTCGCCGGCTGCAGGCACTTTGCCACCCACCACCGCGGATAATCTCCACTCGGCCACTGCCCAGCATCGACCGTCGATCGACTACAAGCCATATAAACCCAAGTTCCATAATGCCGCGTTGTACGTGCCCGGCAGCAGCAAGGAGCAACAGCAACAGCAGCAGCAGTTGCACATTCAGCAGCAGCAGCAACATCAGATGGCTCAGCAGAAGCTGTCGATTCAGCTGCCCCTGGTGCAGCAGCCTTCCCTGGCACATCCCACTCTCTCGCCCAGCACGCAGATGAAGATGAAGCACCACATTAACTCGCACCAGATTCAGTTGCAGATGCAGCAGCAGCAGTCCCTGCTGGCACAGCAATCGCTGTTGGCCGCCATGCCGGTGGCACCTGGTGGAGTTTATTATCTAGGGCAGCCTCCGTATTACAACCAAGAAGCAGCGGCCGCTGCCATTCATCAGCATGCGCTGGTCCTTCAGCAATTCCAACTGCAACAGATCCACCTGGCCCAACAGCAGCAACAACAACAACAGCAGCAGCAACATTCACCATTAGTAAAGGCACCCCCACCAATGCAACAGCCTCCCAGTCTGCCGCCTCAACAGGTTGGTTAAGAATTGTTTTCTTTAATGAGAATATTATTTCTAATTTGAAATTTTTATTACTCACAGCTGGTGCGAGCTAATAGCCAGGCCTCCAATGTAGCAACAGCGCCTTCCACTCCCACGCCCGCCGCCAATCTCAGCAGTTTTGCCAGCTCTAGTGGTGGCATGCAAGTAGTAAGTGTTTCCGTAAAAACTTCTTATCGATGTATTACTTATATGAGCCTTATCTTTTTCAGAATGTGGCCAAAGTACAGGAGCACATTTCCAAGTTGATCTCTCAAAACGAAGCCATTGTGGAGAACAAGGAGTTATTGCTGCAGAAGAAGTATCCCAAGCAGTTGAGTCGTTCCCGCAGCTTCAACAATGCCAACAGCAACAATGCAGCCAACAGCAATCCGGCGGCATTGCATGCAAACAACAGTCACAACATCAATGCCCAGATGCCAGAGCGAGAGACTAAAGTGAATTTGGCACAGGCCATTGTCCAAAAGCAGCAGCAGCAGCAACAACAGCAGCAGCAACAGCAACTTCAGCAGCAGCAGCAACAACAGCTTATCCAACAGCAGCAGCTCGAGCAGCAGAACTACTATACGTACATGCAACAGCAGCAGGAGAACCAGCAGCAGCAACAGCAGCAATTAGAACCTCCAAATGGATTGGTTAAGAGGAATACATATAAGCCTGCTTCGGCGATGACAACGCCTGTGAAGCAGCAGCAACAACTGCCGCCCCCGCCCTCCCCGCTGCCCATGCAAACGATGCAATATCGCCAGGATCCTGCAACGCCGGTGGCCAAAAACGAGCAACCGGCAACGGCAGTGCATGTGATGCCTTTAAACCTATCAGCGAAGCCCAAACCAACTATGGTCACAGTGCCTGTGAGCTCCTTGAATTCCAACTCTGCACCACCCACTCCTGCAACATCTGTGAATTCGGCTAGCGGCTCGAAAACTGCACCACCCATTGCCCAGGTGAACAACTCGATCATCAAGAATCTGTTGCTGAATGCCCGAGGATTGGCGGTGCCGATTGGCGAGGGCGATGACGCTGTTTATTCGTGTCCCATCTGCGCAAACGAGTTCCGCAGCGCGGACGAACTGAAGCTGCACAACAGCACCTACTGCCAGGATGCGAGCTCCAGTGCTCCAATGAGTCCGGCATCGTCACCCTTTCGCTCCAACTCGATGTCTTTAAGTCTGCCGGAGCTGAAGAGCCACATGGCCAACTCAAAGAATCCATTATCTCTGGCCAAGTTGGCCTTTTCGCAGTTGAATACGAAGAGGAGCAGTCAGATATTAAGTCGCCTGAGTGCAGCACAAACGCCAGCGAGGACCTCAACCGTAACAGCCCCTACTGCAACTGCTTCTACTCCTGCTGCAGTTCCTGCTCCAATATCTGCTCCTGCCCCTCAGATTGAAGCCCTCCGATTTGTGGATGCACCACTGCCATCGCCAGGCCCGTTGTTGGGTAAAACACCCCTGGTCGACTATGCACAACAGAATGCACCACGCAAGGCCCAGGACTCGGTGGTTATTACAAAAATGCACGAGGATCGACAGTTTGAAGCTCAGCCAGCCAAGCGTGTCAAAACCAACGATATGGTTGTGGCTTCTTCGTCTCAGCAAACAACAAATTTTAACTTTTCCTTTAACAACCAGAATAACAGTAATACTGTTCCGGAGTTGCAGTCCTCCAAGGAGGAACGACTGCGCAGATTCACCTCCTCTGGGGGCAGCATGATTCCCATCTCGGAGTGCCCCGATTTGGATAACAGCCCCAAGATGATACGAACTCCGTTGCTGTCCGGTGGAAGCTTCCAGGACGTGTCAGTCAAGACCAACAACGAGCCAGGATCATCGAGTAAGGAGCGCAAGCTGATGGCACTGGTTAGTGGTAGTGGACTGCTCGGCGTCAGCTCGGGTCCGCAGCACTTTCAGTTTCCACCCATTAATTCGATAACTGCCTTTAATCCGCTAACGCTGCCACCGATGAGCGGTGGGGATAAAAGCACACCCGTCACACCAATTCCTCATGTGCCCGGAATGCCAGGACCCGGAAGCTTAACGCCACAAATGCCTCTGCTTCCTCCGCCACCGCAACAGCTGCAGCTGCCGATTCCCTCCAGTCGAGGACGTAGTCCAAACCGCAAGCAACCCAGCCCTCTACTCTTGGGAGGAGCAACAGGTGAACTAAAGGCTTTATCGCCATTTGGTGGAGTTCAAAATGTGCCTAGTGAATTCAGCCGTCAGCCACCCACGCCTGCCCAACGCCAAGCTCTTCAATGGAACAGTAAGGAGACGCCGAAGAAGGCACCATTTAACTTTCTTCGCATGGCTGATAATGTGAAGACCACGGAACCTGAAGTGCGTCACTTCAACCTGGAAAATGTGATTACTGGGAAGCAGCAGGAGTCGCCTTTAACACCGCTGCATGTGGAGACACCCAATGGAAACAATACGGAGGAAACCAATCCCGTTGCAAGTTCTTCGTCATCGGCCAAGTCAAAGTTCCTCCGACCCACTAGCTTGCCACTAAAGCCGGGAACCTTTACGCCAAAACGCCATCACGGTATTACGCCTACAGCAAATACATTGCCGCTGATCTCGCCAGAGACTCCGAGGCCGTCCAAATCCTGTGTGCAACTGTATCTCAATGGACATGCCTACACCTATCTGGGTCTTAAATGCAGCACAAAGATGTTTTACTGTACGGTGAATTGCCCGCAACCTTCGTATGTGGCCGGAATGCACAAACTATCAATGTATAGTGTGTGGCAGGTGTGCGAGGAGAACCAGCCGCATCCACTTGGATTTAAACTGAAGCAAGTTATGGCTCTCTATGACTCACGTCAAAGGATGCTGGGGAATGGTACCCTTACAGCGATGGCTGGATCAGGAAAGCTAAGCTACAATCTGGTCGCCTCCCAGCAAACAGTTTCCTCTACTTCGACGTCATCCAGTAGCAGTGCCTTTTATCAAGGGCCTCTGAAGACACCACCAACTGTCACAGTTGCCGCTCTCAGCGAGGCGAATGTGGCGGCCAAAGCGAACGAGGAGGCGCAGGCCAAGAAGCTGGAGACAAGTCCGTCCGGACAGCCCCTGGTGGGTGGTTACGAGTCTCACGAGGATTACACGTACATCCGAGGCCGAGGCAGGGGAAGATATGTTTGCTCTGAATGCGGTATTCGGTGCAAGAAGCCGTCGATGCTTAAGAAGCATATTCGCACCCACACGGATGTGAGGCCATTCACATGCAGCCACTGCAATTTCAGGTTAGTTATTGAGTTTTATTGTTATATTTGAAAGTATACTAAATAAGCACTTCTCTCTTCTTACACAGTTTCAAAACCAAGGGCAATCTGACCAAGCACATGCAATCAAAGACTCACTTCAAGAAGTGCATTGAACTGGGCATCAATCCGGGACCAATGCCACCCGATAGCGAGTTCCTGGACGTGGACATGGACTTTGATCAGCAGTCATCCACTTCGGCAGGAGGACGTACGTCTTCAATGGCAGGAGAATCTGATTCAGATGACTATAGTGACAATGAATCGGAAAGTAGTGGTAAGAGAAGATCATTTTCATTTCCATCGACTATCTTTCTAATTTATCAAATCCTTTTCCCCAGATACGGATGAATCCAAGTCCCGATTGAAAGAGCACGAGGCAGCAAGAGGCCTGCTATCGCTATCGATGACGCCGCCCATTCCGCAGAGCGTGTCGCCCTATCCACAGTTGCACGATACACCTCTTCCGGCAGCTAGTCCTGCAAACAGTATTGGCTCTTCGGGCTCGCAGCCCAAGCGATTGGTGTGCTCTTTCACATCACCCAAGCCACCGTTCGACTACCAAAAGCAGGAACAGTATTATTCCAACCCGGAGGAGTCGAAGCCGAAACGCAGCGGGGCCAGCGAGGAAAGTGCACCCATGGATCTCACTAAGCCGCGCGGCTCCATGTCTGCCACCTCACCGTCACCAGTTCCGCCGCCCGTCCAGGACCTTCCTAAATCGCAGGCCCAGCAGATGCACGATGTGATCTTCGGCAGCTCTGGCAACGCAAATGGTTTTATGAAGACCCTAATCTCAGTGTCGGACAAGGTGCGCATATCCGCTGAGATGGAGGAGCAGGCCAAGCACGAGGCGGAGGGTGAGGACGTCCAACTGCAGACCTACATCAAGGAGCATGCACTGCACCAAGCCAAGATAAAGCAGAGTCAATTTAGCCGCAGCTATCTCATCAACACTTTGTACACTGCTGCGTCTCCCGTATTTAGCAGCAGCAGTAGCACCCTATTTACGACCAACAGTCGTCCCGTCATGAGCATAAATGAGGTTCCTAGCATCGAAGTCCACGAAGTTAAGACTCCTGAAACTGTTGAGCTGCCACCTATTGCTCCTGTACTTGCTCCAGCTACTCCGTCGCCAGCTCCAGCTAAAATTGCACAGGAAGAAAAGGAAGAGAGCGAGACGCAATCAGATCAGGAGAAGCCCAATATTGTGGAACCACATAATGCTAATCTGCCCGCTGCAGTGCAGCAACCGGATGCCAATGATTTCAGTGGAGTACTTGGAAATCCGCCACCACCACCAACAACATCTGTGGCTACTGTAACAACCACAACAACAGCTACTCCTGTGGCATCTTCAGCCAGCGCCAGCATCAACGCTGCTCAGCCCACCCAGCGTACGGTGATCGTCGGCGAAGATGGCTTTAAAAATGCCGGTTCCACGTCCAGCAGCAAGAGCAGCGATCTCCAGCATGTATCCTACGGCCGTGCAGTGCCATCAGCTCCCCTTGCAGGCGATGCGCGTCCAACCTGCACCATTTGCGCCAAGACGTTCCAGCGGCAGCATCAGCTAACTCTGCACATGAACATTCACTACATGGAGCGCAAGTTTAAGTGCGAACCTTGCAGCATATCCTTCCGCACGCAAGGACATCTGCAGAAGCATGAGCGATCAGAGGCGCACAAAAACAAGGTTATGATGACCTCGACGTTCGGTGTTCCAACCACCTCCAATCCACGCCCCTTCGAATGCACCGACTGCAAGATCGCCTTCCGCATCCATGGCCATTTGGCCAAGCATTTGCGCTCCAAGACGCATGTACAGAAGCTGGAGTGCCTGCAGAAGTTGCCATTTGGAACATACGCCGAAATTGAACGTGCTGGGATTAGTCTCACTGAAATTGATACCAGCGACTGTGAAAATTCGCTAATATCATTAAAGTTGCTGGCCCAGAAACTGCTGGAGAAGGATCCGAGCAAACTGAGTAGCTATACCACACCCTCTGGAATGATGCAGCTGGCCCAGGATGCAACAGGTCCTGTCTCGCAGGATAGTGCGTCCGAAGATGGCTTTAGTGCTGCTATTGCTTCGGCGATAGCTTCACTGGATAACGACAGTGCTGGCAACACACCCAAGCGTGCCAGCTCCATGTCTGAGGATGAAACGGTGGCCAATGGCTTGAACCATAGCCTGAAGCGTCGATTGCCGGGCAGTTTCAGCAGCACGGGCGAGGAGAGCGATAATCCGGCAGAGAGCGGTGGCGAGAAGCGTGCTCGTTCTGGCCAGGAGTTGCCTGTTTCCGTGCCCGTTCCCGTGGCTGCTTCGGCAGCGGCCAGCAACTGACAGTATATGTACATGCTGCAGCCCAGCTGAGGCTATCAGTATCCTGTGGTCTACCACCTGGACACCAGTCAGTACGCCGTCTACAATTCCAGCGAGGGACGCCATGACCAAACCACCTCCAACGAGCGCATATCAAATGTCTAAGCATATCGCATTTGGGCACACACAACTTACTCTAGAGCTAGCCTATAAGACCCACCTCTCTTCAGTGATGGTCCCAACTAATTTTGGGCTAATCGCAAATCGTAATCAAACGATAGGAGAGCCAGATAAGAGAGTCAGCTATTCCACTGTAAACACTCTTGGGGAAACTGCCCAAAAAGAATCTTATACAACTTATTATACGGTTCGACGAGGCAGTCTCCCAGTCACCATGCAGATTGTTTCGATCTGTCTCTTAAGTATTTAGTTTAAGGAATTGTCATCAGCTAGCCCTAGTTATAAGCCAACCAACAGGCACACGTATAAATCGACATATATTATATACATTTAAACATAATTTGTTTTCGAAATGCATAAATGCAAAAACTCCTGAAGTGCTGTGAGTCTATCTACAAATGTAACGAGCCGAGAGCGAGAAAAGTGTGTTATTTATAAGGCCTAGCCCCAATAATGAACCCAAAAGGAACCAGAACACCCACACTGAGTATATTGGTTTTCCATGTCCAAATCCAAATTAAATCATTTGAAAATCACATAGTTCTTCCTTATTTCAAATTGTTATCACTTCAAGTTAAGATGAGCAACTGAAAAGAAATTATGTATAACCCTAGTTTTGTTTTAATTTTTAAAACGACGAGACCACGAGACTCTTTTAATTGTTTGTTTTAATTTTGTATTTGGCAGAAGAGAAACGAAATGATGAAGAATAGGAAACTGTAAATAATCAATATGTTGTCATATATGCATTAAGCGGTAGGTTAGTCAAACAAACTACACAAAGTTGATAGAGATAAATGAAAATTATTGTACAAACTGCTATGGCAAGAGCTGTAGCAACGTATATATATACACATAGATATATGCCTATATATATTTGAATGTATGTATGTGGTTAAACAACAAGTAAATGAAGTGATCTATTACATTATTGTAAAATATATCAAAAAACTGAAAAAAACAACACAAACAAACATAAAATCTTATACAAAAAAATGACAAAAAATAAAGAAATCAATGTGAATATACAAGGTTTATTGATTTGTAATAGTTAGAAGCGGGTCTGGAAGTACAGATATTCCTGGAAGAGATATAAATTAACATTATTGTTATATATTGTATTTCTTGGGAACTAATTACCAGTAAAAAGGCTGATCCCAATATCAAAGCCCGTTCTTTGGCTGTTAGCTTTACGTCACTAAAGTAAATATTTGTGGTGTACTGCGACTTGCTGGTAAGCCATTTGTGGTCTATGGAAGCCCTCATATTGCCACCCGAATGGATCTACAGGGGAAAAAACATATACATTATGTTAAATGAATTAAATAGCTGTTTGAGAAGTGAAGAACTATGTTTAGTTCAGAACTTCTTTAACGATTCTAATATATAATTTATTATAGATGGGATTTTATACAAACCTTAAAATAACACTCTCTGGGCAGGCAGAAGCAGCAGAATCCTGAGTTAGCAGGACCCTCCACACAAAACACAGGCTGTCCGGTGCTTTCATCCTCGATATAGAACTCCGGCTGCATGAAAGTTGGTGACTGCACCACTCTTCCCAGCACATTACCAGGCGGTATCCAAATTTCCAGGCATTTCGGCTGACAACAGAGTGATCCTAGCGCTAGTTTCTTTCTGAAAACTAGAGCTTCTTGATGTGTTTTATCCAGTAGGTGCATCTGGAAGGGTCGTCCGGTTCCCCAAAGGAGTCGATTTTTCTCTGTAGAGCTCTCGCTGGCCGCAAAGATGGCATCACCCAATGGAGATCGCACCACATAACGATTCTCCGATGATACTCCTGTTAGAGCTACAGAACAATAAAGAACTATAAGCTCTTAAAGATGTATGGTATAGTTAGGATTACAAACCCTCGTTCAGCTCGAATGTCTGTTCAATATGCACCGATGGCAGATCCGCTAGGCAATCGTATCCGGAAAGGGGAATAAAAGTCCGGCTGCCCGTAACTGTGGCAATGGGCAAAGGGATGCGGGGAGCCTCCGGTCGCGGCTGTGAAGTAATGCTGATATGGGAGTCGTAAACTGAAAAAAAAACAAAAGAAATGATCCAATTAAAAGGTGGTTCAAATATTTCCTGACTCTTGATAAAAGTAAAACAAAATCCCGAATTTCAATATTATTATAATTTTAAATATTCAAAAACTATTAAAAAATGTATATTGTTAAGAACTTGATCCAATCTTACTGATCCGTAGTAGTTTTCTTAAAAAAATGGAATTCTACATGTTAATGCTTTTAATATAATGTATAGCAAGGATACATCATAACTTTTACATCAGTTAGTTCTAAAAAGTTTATTGTAAAAACGTCATATTCTATGATATAAAAATATATAGGGTATTCAATTGCGTTGCAATCGTTTGAAAAGTGTAAAAGTGTAAGCAGTTCCAACAACAATTTCGATACAAAATAGTTTTCAAGGCCTACAACACCCCAGCCTATGTATACAAATCTGTTGTACTTGTGTAGAAATAGGGGGTTAATAATGGGTAGGAATTTTATCTAAAATACTAAAAATATACTGAAAAGTTGGGTTTTAATGACAGAAATTATCATAGCCTTCTTTTCACAAAAATTTAAAAGTTGGCGTTATTTTGTACGTCAATTTCCTGCAACGATATTTTAAAATAGAGGGCGTTCACAATTCTCGTCTGGCAAACTTACAAAGTTTACACTTTTGCAACGCAATTGAATACCCTAATAATATCATTTATTTGTGCTTGCTTTTTAGCCTATACATTTAACAAAATGGGTTGTTGAACTTCATAATCCATTAACTGCTATCTATTGTTTTTTTGCGTATTGCTTTAAATATTCAAATGGTACGATTCTTATTCAGAGCAATTTATATTGGAATAGATCATTAACCGGTAATAGCTTTTCGGGTTTCTCAACTTTCGGGTGACTCTTTGAAACTAGGGATAGTTTACTCTCATTAATATTTTATTACACCTCTTGGAATACAGATAAGTTCATGGGTTTGGTTTTGTTAACAGTTTTGATCGGTCGGTTCGATCGTCCCAAACAAAGGCACTTGAGGAACCGAGACCACAACAAAATGCCAGATAAGATATAGCCAACTTGTAGTCGCATATTTGCGTCGAACTGTGACACACTCGCTACCAATAATAATTAATCCGGTGCACCGCTTATCAGTTGGTAACAAGGCAGTTACCATTGTCCATGGGTGATTCACCCAAAGTTTTTATTTGGTTTTAAAAACTATATCCCCAATTTACCTCTGGGTTCTGAGGGACTTGGCTGCTGGGCCACGCGAATCTCACTATCATATTGCAAGGTGCGGACCGCGTCGTTTTGCAACATTTTCAAAGCACTTTTCAAACCTATTTGACAGCGGGTATAACTAAAACGGATAACGGTGGTTAGTGTGGCAGTCGCGCAGTAAAAATATTATACTTGATAGGAGTACGACTATTGGTCATATTAAAGTTTTCAAAGCAGCTTGAAACTTTTCACTAAATATGTAGTCAAACGAGTTTCTTGAGTGGGAATAACTAAAACTCGATAACTTAAAAAGTAAGTTACATTTGCTTTACTACTTTATTTCCTGGTAGATACGTATTGTCTGAACTTTTTTTTTAGTTGATAATTTCTGAGAACCATTTTTTGTATTTAAGCTTTAATATATTTAAAGAACATTGTAAAGTAAGCATCAACAATTTTTAAAAATAGAGTTGCCTCACTACTGTAATTTATTTTCAGTTCTAACCGATATATACTAAATTTATTTTGAGAATTTTTCTCTAACGCATTTAGGTCATACCAAGTGTGACGGTTTATTTTGTTGGCAGCAAAACAAAAATAAAAGTTAAATTTAAAGAAAGTAATGCAAATTTGTCTTGTGTATATTTAAATTTATAGTCTGTCACCGTGTTCTTGGATAGAAGTTTGCTAAATGAGGTGGCGACGAGCAGCAGGTGAGCGATGAAAATTGAAATAGTGGTGGCATTTTGGCCGACTTTTATTGTTGTGGAATTTTTTGGGCCATTTTCGGGTTGTTTTCGAAACGGTTTCTTAAGGGGTAGAAAATAGTTGGTAGTGCGCAGGCGCGGGAGCGGCGTAAACAAATGCCAATGGTTCTTGAGGGGGTTTTAGCCTCTGGAGCGCGAATAACGACAGTGTTCTCTGGGCCATCGGCGGAACCAGCAAAATTAGCGGAATCTATAGAGAAATCGGGCGATAAGCGGCGCGGCCCCAAGTGCAATAATCAATAAACGTGCTGTGCAAACTTTGCTTCTAGCCGAAGATAAAACCCAGTTGATTGTGAAATTCCTGCTAAAAAAGATAGAAAACATAAATTTGCTCCGTTTTGGCTAAAGTTTTGATGTAACCCCCCTTGTTTGGTATTACCAACTTGCACTTTCCACGCATCCCCCTAGGATTTTGGGGGTGGTTTTTGCCCGGAAAAATCCATGAAAGTAACCGTCAAGTACGCCACGCTGGTGAAAAACTGCTAGGAGTGTTAATTTTCGTTCGGACCAAGAAGAGAACACGGCATGTCTCTGGAGGATCCCTTTTTCGTAGTCAAGGAGTAGGTTCCCCACTTGATGGCCACTGCAGTCTTCATGGAATTTTCCCATAACTTATCACTCTGTTTTTATTTCTTTACCCCCCCTCAGCGAGGTATTCAAAGCTCTGAACAAGACCCGCGGCCTCTATCTGCGTTGGCGGGAGCTGGGCGAGAACGGCGGAACAGAGGCTGAATGGACCACCACCGAGCTGCGTAACTCGCTACGGAGCATCGAGTGGGATCTCGAGGACCTCGAGGACACTATCAATATCCTTTTCACTAATGCAATCCATTGGAAAATCAATTCCTAACCCGGTAGTCAAAGCGTTTAAGGGGGTGAAATGAGTTGACAAGAAGATATGATTTTACTTGTCATTTTCTAATGTCTGTTTCTTATGTCATCATAGTAATCTGAAGAATTCGAAATACCTTTACAAAATCCCGACATATTTTTGCCTTTCATTTATTTTGAACCTTCATGACCAATCCAATACTGTCCTAGCGATATATATATTTCTACAAAAATTTATCTGATCCTTGTAATTGTTATGAGTATGTATCTTTAAGGAATAGCCAAATCTTCTAACAAATTATGAGTACTGGGTCTTTTAAAGTCGGTCCAATCGACTATATTTGTCCATAATTTTCCATGGTTTTCTCCTTAACCCTAACGATTTCGACTCACACGCATTGTTGAGAAGAATCCGAGCAAGTTTCGGATCGACAACCGTGAACTCTCCAGCCGGCGCCACTTCATCGACAACACTCGCGATGAAGTCAAGCAGATGAAGGATAAGATGAGCCTGAACCGGAGCCGGGACAGAGACATCACCGCACACCAGCCACTGCTCGACAACGATCGCCAGAGCCCCAATCACAATCATTCCATCGCCATACCCAACTCGAATTCCAATTCCAACGAGTACCATCAGCATCCGCACAACGATCGCACGTATCTGGTGGAGTGTCCCAACGGCAACTCGCTGATCAATAGTGGAAGTCAGGCGGTGGCCAATACCATAGCAGGAACCATGTCGGCGGCAGCAGCAGCTGCATCCCGCCATAGCGGCACCAAGTACTCCAAACTGGAGAACGCCCTGGACAGTCCCAGTCATTATGGGCAGACGCATCACGGCGGAATGGACAGTCCGAGTCATAGATATGTGGGCGAGACTGTGTCCATACAGCAGCGCATGATCCAGGGTCAGGATGAGCAGCTGGACATGATCAGTGATTCGATTGGAACCCTCAAGACGGTTTCGCGACAAATTGGCGTGGAGCTCGATGAGCAGGCGGTGATGCTGGATGACTTTGGGAACGAGTTCGATACCACAGAGTCCAAGTTGGACACGACCATGAAGAAAGTTGCCAAAGTCTTGCATATGAATAATGGTGAGTAAGGCATTTCACTGGGAATTTAGATAGTGGATTAAAATACTATCATAACAATCTATCAATCCACTCTCAAAATATTCAATCAATTGCCTCTATAAACTATTTTTCCTTTCAGTTAACTAACATAATCCATTTCTCCCCACAGATAAACGACAGTGGGCCGCCATTCTTATCCTATCCGGGCTGTTATTATTTGTGATAATTTTGTTTATTATTTTGTAATTGCTTTCGTTTTGTTTCTAAATCAGTTATATTTAGTGTAAATTAGATTTATTTAAAGACTTGGCTTGGTTTTTAATTCCGGTTCTTAAATGCAAATCGTATAATGTTTATTTAGACGAATTATCAGCATATTCCAAGTAAACTCCCTTGCTGTATATACACTTACAAATTTTAACCAGATTTATTACCAGCCCCTATATATATGTATAATGTAATTCCAAAGCTACGGAGAGATGATCATGTAAAGTCAATGTAGGCGGGTAATAAAAGATAACTAACTACTTATATACCAAGTGCTCCAGAGTTCTGTCATTCCCGATTTGGCCAAAGGATCTTTCAACTGACCTGTATATACATCGAAGGATATATCTGCATATATATACACGAAATGGACCTACCAATATCAAACGAGTTATTTATCGAAGAGTCTAAGGAAATTCCTCTAACCAAATCTAGCAAAAACTTGTATGCAGTTGAGTAAATATAAATATATATATAAAATTAAATTCATCATTTAAAGCAAAAATGTACAACTTTTTACGGGGCGTCTTAAGGAATACTCACGGATTTGTCATCAATTCGGATCATATCTTAAACCAAACTGACGATCATAACTTTGAGAAATACAAACATATATCAATTTGACATATCAAAAAACTAGCCATTTTAAAATATTTGTATTTTAATTTATTTAAATGACACCATCTTAAGGGCACAATTTCTTATTTCAAACAAATTTAAAAAGAATTTATTTAGTAAACTGATTGATCGAATTAAATATCAGGACGTTGGAACATTTCGAAAGACTGGGTTGTAATGTGTTAAATAAATGCCGAAATATGGATCGACCGACCCTAAAACATTGAGTTTTTAATAATACATATTGACAGATAGTGACTTTACCTATATAAAATATTCAGGAAATTCCATTTGGCTCATTTTTTAGAGATTTCTTTTTAGGGGAAAATAAAATTTTTAAATTTTGAATTAACTTTTATACGTTTTTTTGTCCAGTGCATTTGAAGAGGGGATCAGGGCTCTTCCCATTTTCTCTCAATTCACCAAACCACTCGACAACCCACTCGATTTTCACTCAGCTGGGTTGGGTGCTTTAAGCTTTGCAAGCTTACCGTCTGCGCAGGGGGCCCAGTGGCGTCGTCTGGGGGGTGTCTATAAAATACCCAGTACATAGTCACCCCTTGGATTCCCGACTACGCCACTGGTCACAGCATAAGCACACGGGCAGAGCGGCACGTTTCCATGTGATGTTTTCGGATTTCGGCTTTCAGTGTTGTTTGCATTTTCCGCGGAGCTGGAGTTTTTCCAACAGCAAGTAAATTCTATATATATAGTAAAAGTCCCGGTAGACATGTTAAATTGTTGAATAAATCCGACAAAGCGGTTTTTAAAGTTAATTTGGTGAGTGGGAGTGCGCAGTGAAGTGACAGTAAAGACCACCCAATATCACAGCCCACAAAAAAGTAACGCAAAATTCCATTTCCTCTAAGATTTTTGTTGCTGGCTTGCTTTTTTTTTGTCTATTTTGTTTGTCCCAGAAAACCTTGAACATTTTTTGTTTGCCAAAAATATAAAATCAATGTCAAACGGAAGGAGGTGGATACTGCTCTCATGTTTTTCCTTTCCTACTCGTCGGTAAAAATCAGATTTTAGGCGAACTCCAGGTAAAACCAGCTGGTCCGGTTGGCTAGATACTTCTGGGATTGTTCCGCCTCCTTTTCCCTCAGATTTCCCTTAGCTACCATGGCTATTAATAAATTCATGTAGCCAGAAGCGAGTGAACATATTTGAGACTGCATGTGTTTGTACCCTTGTGTTTTCCTTTGGGCGAAAGTGTTGCTTTTGAGGTTTTGTGTTGGTGGGGGGAGCTTTTTCGAAACTCTTATCAAAAGTCGGAGTTGCGGGCAGGAATTCGTTGTCGAAACATATGAGCGAATATGACGTTAGTTTTTAATCAAAAGACATCTTTTTGTTGTCGGTGAAGTGGGCGGTGATCAAACTCAAGTGCCTGGAATTGCACTGCACCAGTTCCATAAGCAAATAGGCTTACAGTGGCACTGCACTCAAAGAAATTGCACTTTCAAGGAATATTTTTTCAAATATTATTAAAGTGAATTTATGAAAATTTAGATGAGATAAATCTTCAATTTTAATGTAACCCTGTGTAAAAATATAACTCGTATAGCACAATACAATATAGACCTACAATATATTGCTCATAATATAAGAAGTAAATAATTAATTCATTGCGAAATCTATTTTAAATGCTATTCTTGAAAGTGAAAGTGGAAAAAACCTGGGAATTTTGAAAACAATATGAGTAATTATATTATAAAATTCTTTCACTAAGACCATAAATAGTTCAAAAAAAATATACAGCCAGTATTTGCTTAATTTGTTAAGGGTGCTTTTACTCTTAAGAGTGCTTTTAGTAAGACAGGTGTTTAGTTTAGGTATATTTACATTTTCAATAAATAACATTTCAAAAACCACATTCGGAGAGATCTCAAGCCCCAGTAAGGGTAACCTAAGGGTTACGTGAATGCGCATACTTTATATTTGATTACTTTATTAATTACCGATTTTTATTAACATTTTTAATGAAGGCACTGTGGGCTCAGTTTTTCAAATTTAAATTTTTTAATTTTGAAAATTTTTTTGGGATTCAAAATGTGTGCAAATACTCGTTTTGAGTATTAGAAAGAAACTAACCAGAAATATTAAAAGAAAAAATAAATATTCCTTTTTTTGAATCTTAATATGTCTTGCTTATTTTAACTATAATGCAGACTTTTTTTTGAGTATATGCTCAATTACCACCGACTCACTTCCACACACTCCCCCACATTCAAGCTAATAGTGTTTATTATTTAATTTGCGATTCTCCTGCTGCTCTGCCACCCCTTTATTTCCAATGTAGATTCAGTTACCCGGAATGAGTGGAGCGCAGCGGAATCTGGATCGCAAGATCGTTGTCATTGGAGCAGGTGCCTCGGGCGTTGCCTGTGCCACCAAGCTCCTGGAACTGGGCTTCCAAAATGTGCTCGTCGTGGAGGCCGAGGATCGTGTAGGTGGTCGCATTCACACCATTCCCTTTGCGGACAACGTGATCGATCTGGGCGCCCAGTGGTGTCACGGAGAACAGGATAACATTGTCTACGAACTGACGCGCAAGCAGGAGGAGGAGCTGCTGGAGTCCACGGGTCCTGTATATGATAACTACGAATGCATCCGTTCAAATGGAGAAGTGGTTCCGGAACAGGTGGCCAGTAGGCTCAAAGCCATTGTGGGTGATTCACTGGTCACCAGGCAGTTGGAGCTGCGTCACTGCAGCGGCTCCTTGGGCAGCTATCTGACAAACAAGTTCTACGATACTCTGCGGCGTCCGGAAAACTCAGATATAGATGCTGACGTGGCCAGGGAGTTCTTTGTAAATTACCAGAAATTCGAAAACTCCGTCGAGGCTTCGGATACGCTGGAGCAGGTGTCGGGACGTGGTTACCTGGATTACTGGGAATGCGAGGGCGACATCCTGCTCAACTGGAAGGACAAGGGCTTTGTGGAGCTCCTAAGACTTCTCATGCGTTCCAAGGAGTTGAAGGTGGAGCACGGAGTTCTGGAGAAAAGACTACTTTTGGCCACTCGGGCCACAAAGATCAACTGGAACCGGAACGATGGACGCGTGGAGCTGCACTTAAGCAATGGAGACAGCTTAATTGTCGACCATGTGGTGGTCACCGTTTCCCTGGGCGTTCTCAAGGATCAGCACTTCCAGCTGTTTGACCCACAACTTCCAGTGGAGAAACAGCGTGCCATTGATGGTTTGGCTTTTGGAACGGTCAACAAGATCTTTGTGGAGTTTCCCGAGGTATTTTGGCCCGAAGATTGGACGGGTTTTACGCTGCTCTGGAGAGATGAGGATTTGGATGACATACGCGGTACCTCAAAAGCCTGGTTGGAGGATGTCTTTGGCTTCTACAGGGTGAGCTATCAGCCGAGGATCCTAGCGGGTTGGATCACAAACGAGAATGGCAGGCATATGGAAACATTACCCGTGGATGAGGTCCAAGTTGGTGTGATGTACCTCTTCCGCCGGTTTCTCAAGTGGAAGATCCCAGAGCCCTTGAATTTTCGCACATCTGCTTGGTATACGAATGACAACTTCCGCGGTTCGTATTCCTATCGATCCATGGATACGGAGCAGCTGGGAACCGGAGCCAGGGAGCTGGCCTATCCCCTGACTGTGGTGGCCACCACGCCCGAGAAGGAGAAGGATTCGGAGGACGACGCTTGGCAGCAAAGTCGCTGCGATAGACCCATTGTCCAGTTCGCCGGAGAGGCTTCCAGCGAGCACTACTACTCCACGGTACATGGAGCAGTCGAGGCCGGATGGAGGGAGGCCAGACGTCTGGCACAATTTTACGGACTAAGCTTGTCCCGTTCGGGAACCAAGTCGCAACTCTAGCTATAAGGGGGGATATCGTGATATATAGACGGCAGCAAAACCGATACCTGGCCCTGTAATATGGGCAGATGTGAATTTAAAATTCTGTCTTCGCACTATACACAAAAAACAATCAAGAAAACTGAACAATATGTATATCCTGGATAGACTTCATACATATGCCTAAGCTACTAATTTACACATTTGCCATAGGTTAACATAGGTATCAGATTATACCTATATATGTACATGTAAAGTGAGCATGTCAATATGTCAACAAGTGTGCTGCCCAATAAAAAGCTGTGTTTAAGTCTTCTCTACCCAAAAATAAATGTAAAATACCTATTCAAAGTTAAGCTTCTGAATAGATCTTCCCTTTAAATGGCATTTAAAATAGGTTTTTATTAATTGCTCACTTGTTTTCAACAATTTGTCACTACGTTTTGATGAAATCAGTTTTCGAAATGAGACATGTTACACAGAATTTCACATTGTATCCAATATGCTCTAGTTAGTGAGTGAGTGTATATACAATTGAGATACAACACGGTTAGCGTTAGGGTTACAGGGGGATTAACTCGATACATTGATTTCAACAACGTGTAATAAATACATTTATAATTTAGTCCATTTTTTTGAACACAAATAAATTTTGTACAACAAGTTTTATAATTTAATCGTTATCATAATTGTAAGATAGACGCTGGTTGAGTTTAAATTTCCTTCTTCATTCCATTTGGTGTGTATTATTGTATTCATTTCTTTGTTTTCACTGTTACGCAAAAAGGTACATGTCGTGAAAAGGACTAAGGCCGGACGGGAGTGCCCAGC